TAGTATGGAGAAAGTGACGTAGGTTATGCTGCGGAAAATCGATTTCGAGAATTGAACGGAAATATACGTTTTGAGATTCTCTTACACCGAAAGTGTGTGTGTATTTTTTTCAAAACATACGTTCGTTCGTTCGTTTGTCCGCCTGTGAAAAATTCTAGCATCTAAACTATTTGTAGAATTTTGTTTTCTTCAAAATAAATATTCTTCGGTCAGGCCCGAGTCGAAACTGTGCGATTTTGAAAACGTTCTTTAAATTTTGGGGCAATCATGAAGCGCCTGAACAATTTCCAAAATCTCTCACAAATGGCTCTATTTTTTTTAACTTTCTTCTAAGGATGAAGTGAAATACACTTATGAAGATTGCTTAGGTCTGATTTTCACTGTTAACTCTGAATTTTCGGCGTCTTCCTACATCTACAAATTGAAGACTGATTTTATTTTCAAACGAAATTTGTTCTCCACATTCAGTTCCATATCTGCGCTTTTTTTTTTTTTTTTTTTTTTTTTTTTTTTTTTTTTTAATGAGCAGCTTTTGCATAACTTTGATTGAAATATGGACAATGTTAAAAAATATTGAAAACAGAGTCTCTCGAAAACACCTCGAATTTTTTTCTTCAAAAAAATACAAGATTTCTTGGTACTTTCTCTTTTGGTACATTTCCAGGAATTTGTATACAGTACTGTATTTGCAAGTAGAAGTGCTTTAAATGATTTCTAATGAAGTTTCTTAAAAACCCAAAGGTTTTCATGAAAAATAAATCAAAATTGCAAAAACGTTTCTTAAAAACAGTTGCAAACTTTTCAACAAAAATTTGCACATTGGACCAGGTTTACTCTTCTATTATATTCTTAAAGTCATATTTAAGTTCTATCATTAGGGGACCAAGAAATTGAGAAAGTAAAAAAAAATTGTTTGGGGACAAACTGTTAGCAAAAACGTGTGGCAAAACCATGGAGGGACAAAACCAAAAAGATAGCCCAAAGAAACAAGGAAACTTAATACTAATAGTCTGTGCCGTTCTGTAACATCACTAAATTATTGTTTTATGTTCACAGTCGACCCCTGCCTATATGTCCTGCAGCTCATTGGCAAGGATTCTTATTCTACCAAAATTCTACCAAGGATTCTCACTAAACCAAATCTACGTCTTCTATTGGATTGTTCAAGTCATTCTAAGCTCCTAAAAATTGCGTAAGAAATCTTTTTCACTCCACTTATAAATGTTTACAAAAAAACTTATTCTTATTGACCCACTCTTTCACCAATTTAAATAATCAATTAAGCTATACATAAGTTACGTACAATCAATGAACTTGCATGCAGAGACCTGGATTCAATCCCTGGTCATTGTGAGGAACAATTTGAAGTATAATTTTGTCATTGATGTAACCAAATGTACTTGAACCATGAGAATTCCTCTTAAAGAACACACTACACTGCTACTACAAAATAAAATTAAGTGTAAGAAGAGAGTTGGAGAAACTTTTAAATCAGCTCCGAGTCTGATAACCTATAAATAAGCTTCACAAGAAATGTGTAAACAGTTGTAAGGATGACTTTGTCAAAAAGAGCCCAATGAAAGTTCGAACTGAATTTAGAAGAATATAGTTTTATTGAGGACAAATAAAAAGACAGTGCATTAAAAGCATGAATTAACTGGAATATGGAGGTGTTGTGAACCCAAGATGACTTAATTAAAAAGATTGTACACAATGTAAAAAATGAAATGCAGTTATAATTAACAAGTTTGAAATATATCCATTAAATACTTGATAACTAAATTAAAAATACCAGTAAATTCTGATAAGCAAAACCAAATGATGAAATTGTACCATCATGCATTTTTATTATGAGGAGCAAGGTTTGCACAACACAATTACATATTGAATTGTTAATATAAAATTCTCCACAGTAAGTTATAGCTTTTCATTTGACTTATATCTATAACTGTTTTATTAAAATACCTAAATAAATACATCTGCCATAATGCTTTAATATATTTAAAATAGCTATTATACCTGATCAATAAGACAAGCACTTTTACTAAATGGTTGAGGGTTCAAACTATTTTTAGGAGTGAATACTAGATGAAATTTAACTAGTATGCAAGAAATGTATTAAGAGGCAAGAACTGCAATGAATGGTTATTGTGCAAAACAATTATATAATAAGAATGGACATATTTGTTTCTTGAAGTATGAATTAATGATTGTTTACTTCTTACAGCATAAATTATGTATTCAAAGCAATTTCACAAAATGTCTGGCATTTCATGGACGGCATGTAAGATGACCATGCACTGTATGAAGTATTTGGCCATGTGAATATTAATTTTCTTAATACAATACTTATATTTTACTAATGTGGATGGATAGTATTCACATCCAATCCATTGCAGTCTAACCATGCATGACATACTGAACATCCCAACAGGAACAAGAGAAAATCATTATAAAGTGGATTCCAGTTCTCAAACACTGAATTATGTATTACCAGTACGGCAAGAGTTCAGCAAACCATTTACAGAACCTTTTTTGCCTTTGGGACCACATTATAAAGAGCTTCACATCAAGAATGAGAAAAACATATATACTTGAGATATTAGGACACAACCAACAATTACATACCTATTTACTTATACACTTGAACAATATATAGTTTGCTGAATGTGAAATCACTTCTATCAGTAACACAGAAACTTGGTCTAACATGCAAGATAAGTATTGAAGTACAATCTTCATCTCTCATGGTGAAAGAGGAACACCATTAGTAGTAGTCTATACAGACTTGCAAGGCTTACAATATACAACAGCATCAAGGACCCAAAAAGTAGAAATTTAAACTATCATAAAATAGTCCTTTTACTTTCACCAATTTTTTACGTTTTAAGTTCAGAGATGTGAAAGGAATCTAAAAGGTTTCACCTCACTGTTCAAAATGATAAACACCCAAAGCTAACTATCACAAAATAATCTGAACAATATCTAATTACAAATTATGTATATATATTTGATGAGGGCAAAACAATGTGTGATTGGCATAAATATGCAACAAAAAGAGAAAATAAATGAGAATGTAAAAAATATACATAACATTTTATGCCATCAATATTTGTTACTGTAAAATTATCAAACAGGAAGCTTATGTTCCTTCTCTTGCTCGTGTTTTATTTCTTTGGTTCTCTCCAAAGCTTTCTTACCCTTGAAAACTTTTTCCTTTGATGTATCTAAAGTATCAGCCAGGTTTTCACCCATCTCCTGTTCAGCCTTTTCTGACAAGCTCTTGTTGCACGAGGCTCCAATTAAAGGAGCTTCCTTGAGAATTATCTGATTTTGTGAAATTCGGTCCACAACAGTCTTCGTTGGAGAAGTTGATGAAGCACAAATGTGCATTTCTGGTACTGGTATAGCCTTGGGCTCAGGAGTAATAATGGATGAAGATGAAAATGTTGATGTTAACTCTGATTTAAAAATAACTGAAGAAGTATCAACTGTAGCAAAACGGCGGTATGTATTATATTCTGTAGAAATGTTTTGTTGTGGTTCATGATCATTGAATTTATTAAGAGAGATAGATGAACATTTACTTGATTTAGAGGATCCTGAAATATATTGGAAATCAGAATTGTAGATGCGGGTAGTTGTGTGGTCAGCATTGGAGAGTGAGAAATCAGTAGTTTGAAGCAACTGTGGCTTTAAATTTTTATTTAAAGTTGACAGAACAGGAACTGACTTGGTTAGACGTTCTGTGGTGTTAACTGCGATTGAATCTGTCTTGGAAATGAAATGTGAAGTAGAATAATTACTCAAGGTGGTTAGTTTGCTTTGCTGGAGAAAGGGAGCAGATGTTCTTTTCTCCTCAGTTCCTTGTTGATCTTTACATGGTTGGTCACTATCGCAAGTTTGAGTATTATTGGGTCGTTCACCTGAACATTTACTTACTTCAGTAAGCACTGGTTCACCAGGAATTATTGGATTATCACTCCTGCATTCCACTGAGCGATTCTGCTTCCCGGGATGATTAAGACACCCAGAACAACGACTCCATGCTCCAGTGTGCCAGCGAGCTGGACAAAGCTGTTTGTTACATGCACGATGTTTTGCATCAGGCTTGCAAACCGCATTACAAAACGAGTCACTGACTTTGCCTGCTTGTTTCTCTACGCATGTGGGGCGAGAAATTTGGGAGCCCCCTCCACATCGAGCTGAACAAGGCTCCCATTCTAGAAATTCCCATCGATAGGTTGGGATGTATCCGGTACTGTTGCGTACATAAAAACTCACATATATGCCTGGATTCGGATGTCCATAGAAGACGGCATAAATGAGTAGATCTTCTCCCGTGGGACCCGCAATAAGGAGAGACTCGCGCTCAGGCTCTGGATGCGAATACACACCAAGTACCCCTTCGCCAAACGAGTACTCGCCGTTCGCATACTCTGAATTGTTACCGTTTAGGAAGAAATGTTTCCCACATTTATCAGAAACGGCAATCGTGTTCACAGATGGCTCTTTCTCTTCTATTCTAACATTATAGCTACCCTGCGGCACGGTCGCAATAACCTCATATCCCTTACCGTTAATCGTTTTGTAAACAGATTCTTTAAACTGGCAGGTGGAACTGTCTCCGCCACATTCCCCACACATGTCTTCCACAGTGTTCGAGCCCAGTACCCAGTCGCAACCGACCGGTACGCACTGGCCACCTACACAGATATCATGCGATCCCTTCCGGCAGTGGGTGCCGTCCTTGACGAGTGGAGCCAAAGACGCGTAGAAGGGCACATCGTTGTAGCAAAGCAGTTCGCACTCGCTACCCTTCACGTGCGTATATGGCTTCCACTTGTACAGCTTGCCGCTGAAGGGTTTGTCGTCGAACTCCGAACACTGAACTTCGCGGAATGTGGGCTGGCGCCAGTCGCACGGCTCCGCGTTGCAGACGCGGTATCGCTTACGCTCGCCCAGGCAGTAGCGGCCTCTGTTGCGCGGCGCGGGGCTGTCGCAGCGGCGCTGGCTCGCCTCCACGCCCGCGCCGCACGTCCGCGAGCACTCGCTCCACGCGCCCCACGGCCCCCATGCGCCGTCCTCGGACGCTGGCCGGGCGCCCATGGGAACGCACGCGCCCGCGAAACACCATTTGCCTTCGCCGCAGCTCGTGCCGTCCGCCGCCGGTTTGCCAGGCGTCGCGCACGTCTTACTTGACGTCCTGCACCACAGCGCCCGGCACAGCTCGTCCTTTTTCCAAGGACAGATTTCCTCCGAGCCCATCGCGTCCTTGCACTGGTAGCCGGCGTCGTACATGGCTCCCGGAGGCATATCGAGCCCTTGGTACAGATGACCCGACGGCTCGTCGAGCAGGCATTCGCCCATGCCTCCGTCTAGCAACGCGCCGATGAACCGCCTGCTGCAATTGGACCAGGCGGCGGAGCGCGGCGACATTTGTGCTGCCATCACGTGGGCCGTTCCATCGGGCGCCACCGGCGAGCAACCCGGCCCACCGTCTTGCATGTTTTCGTCGTGCGCGCATCCCATGATGTGGCCCAGCTCGTGCGTGATGGTCATACCTGTCGACAGCCCGGAATCTACGCTGATGCAAGCTGCGTGCTCGGGCTGGCATGCCGCCACCATGGTTGCTAGTCCTAGGATGCTGCATGTGGAATCGTTCTCTGTGCAAATGTCAAAGCGAGTAATCAAAACCGCTATGTCGTGATGGTTGGGATGGCGCGGGTCTGCGGGGTTAATACGCTGTGCCCAAATTTTAAAGCTTGACAGTGTTTCCTCAGCTTTAGAACTGATTGTCAGGTCTAGTTCTTCCTCTTCTTTCTCGAGTAATATTATTCGCACGACTACTACTTCCAGCGTCCGACCCAACGACGCATCGCGATAGTAATTGGATACCATGTTCATCAATGTAAGTATATAGTTTTCGGTATCATGATCTTTATGGAATTCAATAAACTTTTTGTCTACTACGACAAGAAGCTCCAAAAAACGTGCAAAGAGTGTAGAGTTCCCCGAATTTTCCAACACTTTTGGAAAATGGGGGTTAGCCTCTATCTCACGGGCAAATCTCTCTTGCCACGCACTTTGCCAAGAGCCACGGATGCCACAGAACCCGCTGCTGCCGCCGCCACCAAAGTCGTTTTCGTCCTCCTTCCCGCGCCGCAGCCGGCCTTGCGTTGAGTTGTCCGCGCGAAACACCACGTGCACGTGCCTTCCTGACGCGTCAGGTCGCGCCTCTGCCTGAGGTTCCACGAAGTACCGGTCATCGCCGGTGTGCACGTAGCCGACGAGACCGTCGAGGCAGGCGGAGACCGCGGCACGCGACTCGGGCACGCCGCGCACGTGCCCAACATAGTGGCACTGGTCGCGCCTGGCGCGCCGCAAGCTGGGATCTCCGCGCCACAGGTCGCGGCGTCGGCGCTCCACCACCAATCCCGGTGACAGAAAGGCGTGATTGGGCCACAGCTCGACGACGCGTGCTCGCCCGCCCAGGGACAGCTCGTAGCGCACGTGAGCGGCCTCCTCCGTCGCGCCTCGCCGCGAACGCGTGCGGGCCTCCTCCAGATTGTAGAAATGCGGTAGGTCGTACGACTGGAAGGCGCCCTCGGCGTCCACTTTGCGCGGCACCATTGCATCGTAATCCGAGAGGTCGCGAGTGAAGCGACCGCCGCGCGCCCGCAGCTTCGCTTCCGCTGATCGCCACGCGATGCACGCCCAACATAGCAGGCACAGCTGCATAAAATGACCATATCGTTTCGCACCCATTATCACCCAACAGCCAAGTGGCACGGATTCCAGAAGAATGTGTTGGTGTTCTATTTACCGAACACATAATCCAGGGTACGTAACATACCACCGGGCTATATTGTTAACTATATGAACTGGATGTCGTTTTTAACCTTATCTGATATATTGGTTGATAATCAATTGTTTTCTCTTCACACTTGTCTTTTTGTTGACATAATATATTTCTATATTGTTACTGGAGTGCATCCAAAAAAATCTATAAAAAATACATTTCTGTATTATGTCTCTTACATGTTTTTAAAGACACAATTCAGAAAGCTATGTCTTTTAATAGGTAAAGCTAGAAATATTTTCTTAAGAAGATACAAGTTTTGATTTGGTTGTCTCTATTATAATTTACATTATCTAATAATTTCAGCCCCTGTTTTAGATTTTGAACAACCATAATTAAATACATCCAAATGTATTTTCATATTTTTATTCAATGAAAATTGAAACAATGTTTCAAAGACTCTTCCGTCTCTCTCATCAGATGCATCAATTGAAAATATATGTACAAAAATTAGATCATGACTGAAGAAACAAAGAGAATGTTACAGAATGTTAAAGGAGGCACATACAAATTACAAAAATTAATGAATTACACCCCACCCATTTCATGAAAGCTCTCCTATTATTCTCTGAATAAAACCCATATATATAATAAACAATTATATTTTATAAAATTTTTATAAAATTACTGGTGGACTTGAAATAATTTTTTTGTATATGTACAGATATTTGTTATTTGTATACACCACTGGCGGATCCAGGTTTGCACATGGGAGCCATGCTCCCCACCACAAAAGACGTAGTTTTTATTTACCTTCCTTTTTTTGGAAAAATTGATTTAAATATTTTTTCTAATAATGTAATTATTTAAACAATAATATTCTGTAATATTTCTACAGTACAAAAATAATTAAAAATATAATAACAAATGTGTATTATATAACAAAAATCTACAATGCCCCTCCCAAAAATGATCGGCTGAATCCACCCCGGTTTGCATGTATATAAACATACATACACACACACAAAATACATTTCTCTTTATATATGTGGTGGAGTGCAGAGATGCTATAAGAGCATTAATCATTTAAATAGAGCTGTTGCAAAGGTTAAGAAGGAGTAACGGAAGAGATAAGAAAGTTGCAAGATAATTATCTTTGTCATGATTGGTGCTAATATTTATAAAAGTGTGTTATCCTCAATTCATTCATGTTTATAACATAGGAAAAAAAATATTACACAAATACATCACATTAATGTTTTCAGTACTAAAGCCTGTTTCACTTTCTCAGCCCCATGTATTATAATATACATCTCACTGCAAAATTCTTCAAGTCAAGTTTATGTGTTCATACTTCATTTTTTCAGTTCTTAAGATATTAAAAGTAATCCAACACACATTCCTTTTTACTTAACAAATAAATCTAACTGTAATACGCATACGCCTGGAAATATGCAATATCCAATCAATGGAATAAGTATAAAACTACAAATAAAATGCGTTAGCATCTGGGAAATAAATTTTCACAATGTATTACTAGAAAATCAATACATAAAATAACTTAACATCATTCTATTATTATTGAATGTCTAAGACAATGTAGGAAAAATGATGGAAGCCATATACAGAAATTTTCAAAATTCAAGTATTTTCCTTAACACACAAGTCACTGAAAATTTGTTTCATAGTATTACAATACATTGGAAAAATTTACCAGTTTGAAATAAAATTAATTTTAATTCCAACTCATGTGTATTTTGGTTGTTTTTATTAGTTTTTTTAGTTGTTTATTTTATAGTAATATAAATGCAATAGGATTGGGAGAATATTATTTTTTCCCCCTAAATGTTTTGGGTACAATTTTCTGTAAGAGTGTGAACCATAACAATTATCATTTTCTTGAGGATAAAATCATAACAAATTGCCAGCCACTAGAATTAATAAACAAAAGAAATTTTAAAAAGGATATTATCAGTTTTAGCCTTAGTAATTTTAAAATACAGTGCACTATTATTTTAAAATTTTGCCAATCCTTTGTATGAATAATGATCTTTGAAATTAAATGTATCTAACCCCTTCAGTCATTTTGTAGATTTACGTTTTACTCAATTAAAATGATTAAACTTTTCTTTTAGCAGGCCACTCCTCTCAAAGGCATATGCACTTTTTTTTATTTTTTAAGTGACACTGATTTTGAAATTTTCAAAATCCTAATACATTTGTATCCCAAAACACCTAATGGCCTTGTTTCATTCGCATAGTTCCAAGTCAACAAAAAGGGCCTTGCTTTTGACCTCAGTGATTTACATTATACAACATTGTGTCTGGCTATTGCAAATGAACGCATTTTGTGCCAAAAATCACATATGTATGTTTTTCCGCTTCTTTGCCTTTCCTTCAGTACTGGCAAACAGTGGCCAAGCTTAACCATAGTTCAACTATAGAAGCTTGGAGCAAAGGCAATTGGGAGCCTCAATTCCCGTCCTGGAGATTCTATATAAGTATCTCTATTTAAGAGGGTCCTGTTTGAGGGGAAATTATTGTCTGTAAATAATTTGAGAATGCATTCATCCACTTACAATAAAGTACGAAGAAATTAATAATTATTAATTTAAAGTCGGCACCATTGGCAAAATAAGTGGAGAAATTGAATTAAACATGACTTTTTAAGCACCTAATTTACTTGGCTCATGTATATTTTTAGGTCATTTTTTTCTCGAAAGAGTTCATTATAATGGCAAATTAAGGTCAATATTATAATTCCTCCAACTTTAAATCAACACTAAAATTCTTCAGGCTCTACGATTTAGCTGCACTCGCATCTTTAATACAGTTCTTCAGAGACCAATGTAGTGTTATAGAAATTATTTTGAACAGCATATGCAGGTTAATTAATTAGTTGTCGAAAAATTCATTCTCACTTTTGATATTTTCATCATCTTTAAGAACATATAGATACAAAGATATGCAAGTCATCTGTTACCTCCTTCCAAACAAGTTAACAGTTTTATTGTTATCAGGCTTCATTCATTAGCATCAGATGTAATTGTTATTTTCTGACTATTTTTTTGACATATTTATTATGATCTTTTTACAGTTGAAAATTAGATGACCTGAAAGTTGAAGCACAGTACACTCAAATCCAGATTCAAACCAGTAGGTTAACAGTAAACCATTATTTTATGGTGGAGAAACGTGAGATGCATAAAGCCAAAAAAATAATGATCATCAGATAAATTAGCTGTATTTTTTAACTTTGAACAATTACGTACAGATTTTAAAACACACAAAATTTATTTAACTAATAAATACTGGTTTTGGTGTTGAGTAGATTAACAATATTACAAAATTGATATAAAATGTATTTTAATGACCAAGCTTACATCAATATGCTATTCAAAATTAATTCATATTTTGAAGAAAATTGAAACATTTAGAACAATTCAGAGCACTAAATACAATTTAAAAACAATGGTATATTAAATAAACACCAGACAATTGTGTACTGTACAATCTCTGGCCTTTGCTCACTTCATATTTTTTTAAAACCAACCTGTGTGTAGCTAAGTTCAAAGAAGCAATAATTTAAGCTAATGTGTAGATGTAAAGTTACTGTGTTAAGGAACATTTTTAATTTTCACAAATATGGAAATGAAGTGGTTATTTAACCACTTTGGATTCAGATCACTTTTCCCCCTTCATCTATCTCCATTCTATTAATTGAAATGTTTCTATGAAACTAATTATGAGGGCAACACTTCTCCAGTAATTTACAGCAGTACCTACGTGACTTACATTCTACAACAGATGTGACTGCACTATTTAATAGATATTTTATAAAATATTTTTTATGTATCAAAATAAATATCTAGTCCACTTACAAATGAATTTAATAAATAAATAAATGAAGTTTATGAAATTGCTGGTATGAGCCAATGTTCCCTCATCTGTTTGTGTAAGCCACATTCTGAGGAAAAAAAGGTCATATTTCAGTCCTTCTTTTGGGATAAGACATAGCCATAAGCCACAAAAATTTTCCCATTTTAGTGCTGAAATGGGAAAATTGAAAAAGTCTACTTAGCAACTGATTAATATGATAAACTAGTATTAACAAATAAATTATTACTGGTTTATTTTCAAAAGACATTTAGGAAATGTCCCAGAATTAATGCATCACATTTAAGAAAAAGTGTAACCCTTTAGTAGAGAAAGAGAGAGATAATAGTATAAAAATAAATCAGTGGTCAAGGGTACCTGCAGTCATGAAAATATAAGTAAAAAACATTAAGCCTATAAAGAGGAATGTTTCAAATACTTACAAATATAGTAGATAAATATAATAACAAATAAAAATTACAAGAATATTATTCATTGAAGAGGCTCATTTAAATATATTGACTAGTGATTAATACAATGGTATCCAGTCATGGACACCATTGTTTCTCATATTCTGTACTTTACCTACGACACTATTTTCCTACCAAGTTTTCAGCACATAATATTTCATAAAATACAGTCGAATCATTACTACACTCAAGTACAGGTTTTCTACTCTTCTTTTAACAGTTTTAATTTTTTTACATATTAGCTTGATAATTGATAGGAAACTTAAAATTGGAAAAATAAAAAAAGTTAAATAGATATTGTTTTCTTCTCCAGCCTATTGAAGTATTGCTAAAATAAGTCCAAAATATTTACAAAATTGTTACAATTGTGTACAGATTTATTTTGGGATTTTTCCCTTCACAAGTAATGATGAAAGTTGAATAAAGTGGAGTTCAACTCTCAAGTTTTCTTCCTTTGTCCATTGTTTTCTATCTGAATTATTATAATATTTAAGATTTTTGAATTGTACAAAAAAATTCTTCCTTATTAGATTGATACCTCTCTCCAAAGACAAAATCTACCTGAAAGTTTTCACAAAAGTCCTTTCTCTTCTTTAAATAAAATAATATTACAATTAAGAATAAGATGAAACCAACCTTCGTTCTTTGGAATTCTTTCATACCACTTTTTTATTTTGTCAGTACTGGAGAAGTGCAACAAAAACAAAATACTTCGTAAAACATGATAAATTACCATTAAAAAGAGAAAGCAAAAGATTTCAAATAGAACTTAGTCTGCACTCTCTGGTGATAAGCAGTTAACAAAGACTGCAATACATTAATAAACTATTTTTTGTCTAAAGTATATACAATTTAACTGCTAAAGTAAAAATATTCAGTACAGTATCAAAATGTTAATTTTGGAAAGAATCCTCAACAAAAATTGCCCTTTGTGTCTTTATTAGTATCCACAAGAAGAATTCAAAAGAAATAAAATCAAAATTTGATCAACAATTATCGTAAAACCTTTTCAGAATGAAAACTGCAATGCACTGTAATGCATCTGCAGTAATTCTAACTTTCTTGCTTTAAACTAATATGTAGATGCTTTCTGTAAAGAGTAACCTTCAAACTATAATGAACATTCTTATTCCTCAAGTTCTCTGAACCTTCAATAAACTAGGTATTTCTGAATATAGTTCGAAATTCAATAGTTTAGTACTTATGTCAAACATTTATCATACTAGTTATTTCCTTTTTCATCAAATTCTTACAATAATCTAGTGAACAAACAGCAAATAATTTGATATTTGGCACATCTTTTCAAACACAACTCTGAAGAACGCAACTTAATAACATAAAGAAGCTATTCAGACATATCAGTCTATTTCAATCCACACAATGGGCAATATTATAATCTTTATTTTAATTAATAACAGCATTACATGTATAAGAGACAGTGTCAACCCATGTAAAAGATAATCTCAAATAATGACTAGATTTAAGGACTTCAATGAAACAAATTATTTTCTATGACACATATATGTACTTTAACATCATTTCTAATTTAGTTTATATTCTCACTAAAACCATTATGTAGAGATAAAAATCAGGTTCTAATAAACAACCTGTGAAGCTACAATTACAATGAAAATGTAAGAAGAAAACACAGTAATTTCTTAAGATACTTTTCTAACATTCAGTTTGCTCTGACCTAGAATATGCACATATCGTGGGGAAGTTTTTTCTACTTGGACACCAAAAACTAACATTGCAACTATGAAATACATGAAAAGTCATGAAAGAAGTAAGGTAATGAAAAGTACGGCAAGAATATGCATCAAGTGGTAAGAAGAACTGGATAACTGGAAAGAGCATCATCAAATTTGATAAAATGCTTATCACATTCAATATTATTTCAGAATTTTCTTTAATGTTTAAAATCAACACTTACGTTCATTTTGACATAGAAAATCACATGGTCTTTACAGAGGGCAAACGCTCATAATAGTATTTTACAATACTTATTACAAGTGCTTTAGGATGTGTAAGACAGAAATATTCTGCAAGTTTACAATCTCTGTATACCACAAAGAGAACATTCAGATGCCAATCCAGTGATCTAAACTTAAGTCTAAATTCTCTCAGCCTGTACCACAACACACTCCTCACGTGTCTTCTCACCAGGTGCCCAACATGATCGCTTACAGCAGAAGACCAACACTGTGCCAAATTCCAGATGAGTCCCTCCATGTACCCCCTGAAGCTGCAGCCGAGATACTAAAGTTGGTATAATCTGCAGCTCGAAAACCATTTCACCTCGGCAATGTTGACACCTTGTTGGTACATTTGGTTCTGGATACAGTAGCAAAGGACCACCACCATCCCGGCAATACCTATAATTCAATATTATTATAATATTTGCAATTTGCAATTTAAAACAAGGCAGAAATTAATGAAATTATAGTGATTTAAATATGGATGAAAACTATAATATGTATCCTCTTAATATTAATTTCCATTTCTCAACTACTTATATATTAAAAAATGAGTACATTTCAAAACACTATTTTACACCTGATGAATACAAACTCGGGAAAGTTGATTTTGGAAGATCAAAAACGGGCATTCAATTTATATCCCAAAAAATGTGGTAGATATTTTATTATTTTCCTACAACTGTTACGTAAATACAATTTTTTTATATTGGGAGAGTGAAAGTTGACTTGCTCAAGAGCAAATGTAGTTCTTGACTAAGCAAAGTTTTTCCAAAACATCATGAACCATTAATGCCCAAGAAGAACAATAAAAGTTGAGAGTTGAGCACCATTGATTAAGCACAAAACAAGGAGATAAGCCAAAAAAATTATAGTGAGATAATAGGCAGCATTTCTGCATATTTGTCTATCACACCAAAATATAATGGGGAAGTCTCATTCCTCCCAGCAAGGATTATAAACAAGGCAACCAAGATTTTGACCAAGCCACCCCGTTATAGAAAACCAAAAAGAATATTGCTGGTCTAGCAGTATCACATTTGAGGATAGGGACCCCAGAACCTTGTAAGAAGATGTCATGTCTGAAACTAAGTACACATTGAGCACATTACAATGATCGAATGATTACAATAATCAAATGATTAATGTTTAAGGGGGCCAGTGTCAAATTATTTTAAGAACAATATGCACTATAGCAGTGTCAGACTAAAACATTTTTTTAAAGCAAAGAAAAATGTCAGTATATAAATGTGTTTTAATTATTTTAGAAAAGGGATTGGCAAAAAAGAATCACATAAACTCTCTAAAATCTCCAATTAAAAGCCAAATAATTGGCATAATCCTCTTCTCTCAGATAATGCTGTAAATGTCAGTCTCTCATACGAAGCTAAAAAGTTTGTAAAGAGAAGATTCGTCATTTTCAACTACCTGTGCTAGAGAGCTAGCAAAGTGAAGCCTTCAGCGGCTATCTCTTACCTTAGAACAGTGCAGGAGAACATGCTCTACAGTAAGATTTGTCTCAGAACTATCGCAATTAGGGAGTGGGTCATTGCGGAGAAGATGGCCGTGTTTGAAATGGCAGTGACCAAGGCGAAGGCGTGTCAGAATTATCTCCTCGCGTCTAGACCCACGAGATTAGGAAGACCACGACTTTATGGAATCCTTTATTCTTGTGAGTTTAAAATCAGAGATCTGCCACTCTGTTTGCCATGCACTGAGTATTGAGAATTTTAAATACGCTTTGGAGTTTGTTGAGGGGACATAAGAAATGTGGATGACTTCCGAGTGGCTGTTTTTGCGGCTTGAATGGCAAGCTCATTGCCTGCGATTCCCACATGTCCCGATACCCAACGTACTAGTAGGTCATAGTGACAAGATAATAGACTGTGAAATATATGTTGTATTGTCAAGTAATTCAAGTATGTTGTCAAGTGATCGGAGAGAGAAAGAGTCAAAGTGATTGGAGTGCACTTCGGGAAACACTGCATATAACTACTCATAAGGCACCTGTATGTATTCCAGGACTTGCGGAACAGCGACCTTCTCAGCAGAGAAAATGCTACAGTATGGGTGAATGTTGACTGACCGTGTGGCTGTTCTACAGTACACAGTAGAGCATAACATGCCACAGAATCGTTTGTGGCAGAGCCGTCAGTGTACAAAAAACATAATCTGGATAAGATGATCTCAACTCATTGAAGATCTTTAGATATACTATGGGCGAAGTTGATGTTTTAGGGACGTTAGATAAGCTGAAATCTATTAGGAGTTGGAGAAGTTTCCAAGGAGAGACCAGAACTTTGGGAGGTTTCACAGGAGCAGGAAGTTTCAGGTTAAACTTCCGCAACAAAGTGGAGCGGATACCAGGTGGTTTAGAAAAAGATGGTATAATAAATATGTTTGGAGATCTGGGTACAAGAACGCTCACCGAGATGGACCATCCATCTCTGACACTTTTGCACAGTACGAACAGGTTAAAATCTCCCGTCTCCGGCTAAGATACGGTTCTGCAGCTTCAGCCAAGGAATACTCGGTAAGGCTCGTGCGATAGGCACCTGTGCTGATGCGAATTCCGGCATAGTGAATAGTATTGAGACGTTGTAAAGTTGGTGACGCGGAGCCGTATACGTGCTGCCATAGTCCAATACAGGTCGAAGTGTCCTATACAACCGTAAGAGGCATGTACGACCGGCGCCCCATGAGGTACTGAGGTTGCGAAGTAGGTTTAAAGGCAATTCACATCGCTTCTGCAGGTTGCGGACGTATCTTCGCCATGTCCGAGTTTTGTCGAACATCAGACCAAGAAAGGAAGCTGCATCAACTAACGGGAGTTGTTGGTTACCAAAGAACAGATCAGGGTGCTTGTGGAGGTGATACAGAAACTTTAGCGTAACTCGCAACCCATGTCTGGAAACACCACCTCTTGTTTTGCCAATTTGGCAACGCGCGAAATACCTTTGCAATCCTTTTCACTTTTAGCGACTTACGGCCACGTGATCTCCGATTTCGGGGTGAGATAATGTGGCTAATTTTAGTTGGAAAAAAAGAAACAATTTATTCTGACCTAGTTAGTCTTCATCGTACAGCAGACATTGCACTGAAAAGGGTAAACGCCTGTGTCTTGGCAAATGGCGGTCACTTTGAGAAATTTCTCGAAGGTTTTTTTTTATTTTTTTTATTTTAAGAACATTATATTTTATTGTTTATTAATTATTTTCAATATTTACTAATTTACTTCTTATTTAGATATTGGTATTTTTAATAATTTTATAAATATTTCCTTAATCAGGTTCAATAATAATAATAATACACAACTATTGTTATAAATAATGAAGAGCTTGTCGGTAATATTTCAGATATATTATCTGACTTTTATTAAATAATAATTGTTAGGTTGGTGTTAATAAATTGATTAAGTCATACTTTTTCTCCACATCTTCAGTATTACAATTTTTGTTTCTTAAGCATACCGGACAAAATCTCCTAAAGAGACGTTTTCTTTTACAGCTCATGCATTAGCGCACCCCACCCACGAGCGAAAAGCTTCCGGCGAGTGAGTTGCGTACCTGCCTACCTACGCTCTTGAATGGGAAAAACATGGAAACAGGAAAGTTGCTGCAGCTTATGACCCGACGGTCGCTTACTCTGCTGTGTTGTCGTGCAAAGCACGATTGTCTTGAAAGTTGGCAAAGACATGAGGTTGCCAAATTGTTAAAAAAGAGAACAAGTGCTCTCAGTCATGGGTTGCGAGATAAGCTAATGACCCTGTAGAGTGCACTTTGATTTTGAGGTGGATAACTTAAATCCCGTTTTTACGCGCCATGCAGTAAATCTACTCGGGACGAGTTGCAGGAGCCTTTGGATAACGTTCATGCTCTTAGATGAGCAGAAAATGGCAAAATCATCAACAAAAAGTTATGCGTTTGAATAAATGACCCAACGATGAAATGAACTGACCCCTAAGGAACTCCTTTTTCCAAAGGGTGACAGGAAGATAGTTTTCTGCCGACGCGGACTCCTAAGATCTTAAAGAGAGAAAGTTCGTAAGGACCAGAGGGGAGCTGTTCTCTTAAGTTCCCGAAAGAGCCTCCAGGTCATGTATAGGCTTTCTCAATGTCAAAAAAGACGACTAAAAGCTGTTGTAATACGAAGTGGCTACAAAGCAAGAGTGATCCAATGTAGTTCGATGCTTCCTGAAGCCACACAGTATTGGTGTTAAAGTTTCTTTGCCTCAGCAGCCTGACCAGACGTCAACTAACCATTTGCTCCAATAGCTTACAAATCCAGCTAGCAAGCGAAATTAGTCGATAGCTCGAGGGAATCATTCGATCCTTTCCTGCCTTCGTAATAGGGAATACAATGGCCTCACCAGGTGTCAGAAATGCGGTTGAAGAGGTTAAGGACTAACGATCGCGCCTTCTCGGGATTAACATTTTTAGCATTTGGTTGTGGATTTGGTCATGTCCTGGAGCAGTCTTTAGAAGAGCAAGCGCAGACAATACTTCTTCCATGGAAAAGGGGAGTTACATTCCTCTTCTCTGCCACTTGAAAAGTCCAGTGTATTTTTTTTCACCTCTTATAATTAAGAAACTCTGCAGAATGTTGCGAAGAACTGAAGACGTTCTCATAGTGAGATGCCAGTTTCTTTGCTATATCTACAGGTGATCACGTTTCCTTTCATCAGCCACTCTGGAACGTTCGGAGAAGGAAGTCTTCCCCCAATTTGACGGATCTTTCGCCATACCACTTTAGGAGTCCGGCAAGAGAGAGAAGAAAGGCTCTACAAGACGTTTTGCTTCCGCGTATTACCATTCTAGCCCTGGCACTACACCTCATGTATTCAATTTAGTTTTCTATTGTAGGGAACATATTGAGCCTGAAAAACGCTCGTTTTCACTCACAAAAAGCGGTGGCGGTGTTTACGTTCCACCAGGGTATAAGAGGACGACGTGATCGACCTGTCGTTCTTTGGTATGGCGGTGGTTGCGGCATTGAGAACGCATTCGGTGAAGTGAGCAGCCATACAATTTATGTCGTTGGGACACTGGTCTAATATGTCCAGTTCTTCACCGTATATGGCCCAGTTGGCGCGCTGGATTCACCACTAGGGTGGGCGGACAACGTCGAGCTCGGGCACATCTAAGTGGACCAGGATTGGAACATGGTCGCTTCCATGGAGGTCCTCTAGGACTGTCCATTCTACAAACTTAGATAAAGATGCACAGCTGAAAACGAGATCGATGTGGGAAGATATGTTGTACCCCAGGGAGAAACTAGAGTCATGGCCTGTATTTAGAAGAACCAAATTAAATTTTTCTGCGATATTTTCCAGACGGATACCTCTCTGGCAAGACCTTGCTGCACCCCAGACGGGACTGTGAGCACTGAAGCCCCCAAGA